GGGCTGGGTTTTGCTGTGTATCGCTGTCTCACAGACGGCCACTGGGCTGAAAATGAATATAATTTAAATGGGCCCACTTTGAAATAAATAAAACATATGGCTGCACCCTAAAAAGAGTTAACTGATTGAATTATGACTGAAGGTCGTCAGCAGTCTTCCTCTTCCGTGTTTTTCCTCCAATACGTAAAGGCTGCAGCACCTTTGACAACTTCTCTCTACATATCAAATATACCGGTCAGCCAGCATCGTTTGCTGTGAAAGCATAACTCTGTCCACACAGAATTAAACCATCTGTGTTCCTCCGGTACTTTTATTTTCTTTGATTTATCCATAGCTCGCTCATCGAGCCCGGGGTCAGGTTATTCGCCTGCAAGAAAAGGCGCTGGCGCGGGACCATAGCAGGATGTGACGCATATTTTAGTTGACCTAATTAAAACCGTTTTTTTTTTTTTTTAAATGTATGTGTCACAGTATCACCTCAAAATACAAGATACAAAACATTTTTGACCGTGCAACAAAATATAAATAGTCCTACAAATGTTTTTATTTTATTTCCTTCTTATTTTTGTCTAAGCTCAAGGGAGCCAGAGTAGAGGGCTTGAAGAGCCGCGGGTTGCCGACCCCTGGGTTAAGTGGTCCTTGGTATGAACAAGTTTGAGAAACACTGCTTTATACACAAACAACCAAAACAAATATCAAAAAGAATAGCTCCACAGCAGATCTATTTCTGATGTTAGGAAGCACCTTCCGTCTAAATATGCTGAACTGGTGTAAAAATATACTGTTGATGTTTTCTGGAGATGTATCAGAAATTCTCCTTTAGCCTCCGAGCTCCTAGGGTGGTGAGAAGTTTTGTGCGAGTGATTGACAGCTGAGCCGTCGGGGGAAAGGAGTTTGATGTGAGATGTAAACAGACTCGCTCTGTTAACTGCAGCTTACAAGCCAAGTGACAAACAGCATTTAGCAGTGGTATAGACTAAGAAAACCACACCATTCACGATCGGACCTGACAGAGCTTCATGTTTATCTTATCTTTCCCGTCTAGAAATGTCAGATTTGCTCACACTCTTTGTCTTAGCATGCCGTCTGGCTGTCGGTAAATGTCACGGTCATGGCAGTGAGGATGCTACCGCTTTGGTTTAGTGTTTTGATTGGCTGTATGAAAAGAAACGTCTCTGGTGACACAGACGGATAACTCATACCCCAACAGACGGGCTGCCACCGTGATCAACAACATTTGAAATGCGTATTGGCAGGCTCTGACATTAGAGGACATCGATATTCAGAACACATCGATGTGTCGTAGAAAGGAAATGAGCACGTTAGCTGTAAAGGAGATCCATCACTTTGCAGTAGAATATTTTGAAGTATATATGAGAGGTAAATACAAATAGCAGATAACTATAAAACTGTTTATTGTCTTGACTCCGCAGATGCTTACTGCTTCAACATCTTATGTATAAAAAAGTTCAAAGAGTAAGACGATGTAAACTTTAGGGTTTAGGTTAAGTTATGGAGATATTTCTCAACAAATGTAAATGTCCCCTCTGTGGGGCGAGTAAATGTATTCTGATTCAATGTCTTTTATTTTACACCTATCAAGGATCTATAATTGTTTTCCAACATGAAAGTGACCTTAACTTTAAACAATACCTGGAGCACAGGAGGGTCTGCAACACAGTTATCTTTTCATTAGAGATTATTCAGTTTACTATTCTCTTGAATAATCTATCAAAGTCAGATTTGTTTAATTGTGTCTGGCTGTTAAGGGAAACGCTCAAACATTTTCTGTAGGCACTCATTTGAAACACATTCTTGTAAACAGCCATGGCCTGATTTAACTCCCGATGGGCGTGTGTGTGACGTATATGTGAGCTTTTATTGTGTGTGTCTGTGAGAGGGAGAGGGAGTCATGGGAGAGAATGGAGGGAGCAAAACACCAGAGCAAGTCTCATGCTGGTGGCTAAAGTTATGAGAAAATGTACACTCGATGTTCACAATATAGTAATCTCATCATCCTATGTAGAACAAGACATAACATATTGATTATGTTTGATATATTGCCCAGCCCTAACTATAAGGTATTTAGTGAAATTCATATTTCAAAAGGCATTAAAAGGTCTTCGACAAGTAGGTGTCTTTAAATGTCCCACGCAGGGTTTTCACAACAGCAATACGACCAAAACATCAACATCTAATCATACGTATTAATGTAAGCAAATGAACCGTCAACCTAATTTTCAGGTTATGCCTTATCTGCATTTCTGAAGTAGGATGTACCAACATTTTAACTTGACAAACAACTAGTAAAATCCCCTCTCACCTTGGTCAGGGCCTGGTCCGTCTTCTCCGGGTTGCTGCGGTGCGCCTGAGTGACATCACTGAGGGGGAGGGGCATGTACTGAAGAGTGAAGTTGCTATTAGGCAGAGAGTGGAGGAAGGACAAAGATAATATTACCCTTGCAACAACAAACTGGAGGAATTATGATGTTAACAAGAACAAACAGGAACACACCAAGGGCTTTTATAACACTTGTCTTCGATTCCCTAATATACGCAAATGCACACACACATTTAAACAAACTTCACACATGAAATAAAAGACTGGCATACGTGTCAGAGGGCTGATGAAACGCTGTGTAAGAGTCAACTCTTGACAGAGATGGTTATCCGTCCGTGTGAATGTATCCCCTCTTCAAAAGTTTTTTTGTGTGTGTGTGTGTGTGTGTGTGTGTGTGTGTGTGTGTGTGTGTGTGTGTGTGTGTGTGTGTGTGTGTGTGTGTGTGTGTGTGTGTGTGTGTGTGTGTGTGTTGTCTTACTGCTCCAGCGCCCTCGCCACGTCTTGGAAGCCCATTGCTGTGGTGTTGTTGCGATCCCACGTCACACTCCTAAAAAGGGATCAAACCAGAAGGAAATAGGGGGAGACAAGTGAAGGAAAGGAGAAGATGAGTAACTTTCTAATGCTCCTCAAACTGCATCAAGCCATTACTCATGTAGGGAATGCTAGTCCTCTGCATGTTTTGCACATTTCTGCTAAATTGCGACGTATTTTCTCACTGCACAGCTCTGCCACTTTAAATTCTGATAAAGTGAAAAAGATTTTATTCTGAGAGTATGTTGTCATGTTATTTTTTTCCCTCGGAAATTATTGATTTTTTTTATATTTA